GTGTGTACTTGTACTGTAGTACATGTTGAGGCAGGTGGACTTGAGTCTCTCTCTCTCACCATACTCACTTACTTTATCACTTCATACACTTAATAATTGTCTCCTGCTTATATCTACATAATAATAATAATAATAATAATAATAATAATAATAATAATAATAATAATAATAATAATAATAATAATAATAATAATAATAATAATAATAATAATAATAATAATAATAATAATAATAATAATAATAATCTCTAATGTGTCGTGTATGTTTGAGTTACTCTTCACCTGACACTCATTAATCGTTGTCACTGTATGTATACTGTACACTGTGTACACCAACTGTCTATATATATATATATATATATATATATATATATATATATATATATATATATATATATATATATATATATATATATATATATATATATATATATATATATATATATATATATATATATATATATATATATATATATATATTGTTGTTATGAGAGTTAATGAGAGAGAGCATCGAACCCGGTCATAAACAAACACTTGCCGGATTACCGTGAATTAACGCAGTCAGTAACTCAGTATGTGTCCCAGAGAGAGAGACAGCATGTGTCCCAGAGAGAGAGACAGCATGTGTCCCAGAGAGAGACAGCATGTGTCCCAGAGAGAGACAGCATGTGTCCCAGAGAGAGACAGCATGTGTCCCCAGAGAGAGAAAGCATGTGTCCCAGAGAGAGAGACAGCATGTGTCCCAGAGAGAGACAGTATGTGTCCCAGAGAGAGACAGCATGTCCCAGAGAGAGAAACATGTGTCCCAGAGAGAGAGACAAAGATGTGTCCCAGAGAGAGACAGTATGTGTCCCAGAGAGAGACAGTATGTGTCCCAGAGAGAGACAGCATGTGTCCCAGAGAGAGACAGCATGTGTCCCAGGAGAGAGACAGTCAGTATGTGTCCCAGAGAGACAGTCAGTATGTGTCCCAGAGAGACAGTCAGTATGTGTCCCAGAGACAGTATGTCCCAGAGAGAGAGACAGCATGTGTCCCAGAGAGACAGCATGTGTCCCAGAGAGACAGCATGTGTCCCAGAGAGAGACAGTATGTGTCCCGGAGAGACAGTCAGTATGTATCCCAAAGACAGACAGAGACCCACTATGACTGGGGCCCACTATGACTGGGGCCCACTATACTGGGGCCATCTGACGGGGCCAACTATGACTGGGACCCACTATGACTGGGGCCCACTATAACTGGGGCCAACTCTGACGGGGCCCACTATGACTGGGACCCACTATGATGGGCCCACTATAACTGGGGCCAACTCTGACGTGGCCCACTATGACTGGGGCCCACTATGACCAAACTGGGGGCCAACCTGACGGGGCCCACTATGACTGGGACCCACTATGACTGGGGCCCACTATAACTGGGGCCAACTCTGACGGGCCCACTATGACTGGGACCCACTATGACTGGGACCCACTATGACTGGGGCCCACTATAACTGGGGCCAACTCTGACGGGGCCCACTATGACTGGGACCCACTACATCTGTCACCCACTATGACTGGGACCCACTATGACTGGGACCCACTATGACTGGGGCCCACTATAACTGGGGGCAACTCTGACGGGGCCCACTATGACTGGGACCCACTACATCTGTCACCCACTATGACTGGGACCCACTATGACTGGGACCCACTATGACTGGGGCCCACTATAACTGGGGCCAACTCTGACGGGCCCACTATGACTGGGACCCACTATGACTGGGGCCCACTATAACTGGGGCCAACTCTGACGGGGCCCACTATGACTGGGACCCACTATGACTGGGACCCACTATGATCCACTACATCTGTCACCCACTATGACTGGGACCCACTATGACTGGGACCCACTATGACTGGGGCCCACTATAACTGGGGCCAACTCCTGACGGGGCCCACTATGACTGGGACCCACTATGACTGGGGCCCACTATAACTGGGCCAACTCTGACGGGGCCCACTATGACTGGGACCCACTATGACTGGGGCCCACTATAACTGGGGCCAACTCTGACGGGGCCCACTATGACTGGGACCCACTACATCTGTCACCCACTATGACTGGGGCCCACTATGACTGGGACCCACTATGATGGGCCCACTTGTTCGGCCAATCTGACGGGGCCCACTATGACTGGGACCCACTATGACTGGGGCCCACTATAACTGGGCCAACTCTGACGGGCCCACTATGACTGGGACCCACTATGACCTGGGGCCCACTATAACTGGGGCCAACTCTGACGGGGCCCACTAGACTGGGACCCACTATGACTGGGGCCCACTACATCTGTCACCCACTATGACTGGGACCCACTATGACTGGGGCCCACTATAACTGGGGCCAACTCTGACGGGGCCCACTATGACTGGGACCCACTATGACTGGGACCCACTACATCTGTCACCCACTATGACTGGGACCCACTATGACTGGGACCCACTATGACTGGGGCCCACTATAACTGGGGCCAACTCTGACGGGGCCCACTATGACTGGGACCCACTATGACTGGGACCCACTATGACTGGGGCCCACTACATCTGTCACCCACTATGACTGGGACCCATTATGACTGGAACCCACTACTACTGGGGCCCACTTTGACTGGGGCCCACTACATCTGTCACCCACTATGACTGGGACCCATTATGACTGGAACCCACTACTACTGGGGCCCACTTTGACTGGGGCCCACTACATCTGTCACCCACTATGACTGGGACCCACTATGACTGGGGCCCACTATAACTGGGGCCAACTCTGACGGGGCCCAGTATGACTGGGACCCACTACATCTGTCACCCACTATGACTGGGGCCCACTACATCTGTCACCCACTATGACTGGGACCCACTACTACTGGGGCCCACTTTGACTGGGGCCCACTACATCTGTCACCCACTATGACTGGGACCCATTATGACTGAAACCCACTACTACTGGGGCCCACTATAACTGGGGCCAACTCTGACGGGGCCCACTATGACTGGAACCCACTACATCTGTCACCCACTATGACTGGGACCCACTACTACTGGGGCCCACTTTGACTGGGCCCCGGTACGACGACGGCCTGTTGTAAGTTATCAGTGAGCGGAGAGAATGTTGAGAGCTTGTGATACTTTGTAAAGTTTCTCGTTTTCTAAGTAAGTATCTTGGTGAAAACTTAGTTGATATCTTAGTGAGTGCTTGAGTATATATCTTAGTCAATGAATATTTTAGTGAATATCAAAGTATCTTGATTCGTGAGATAGGTGTAAAGTAGGAAATATTTGCCTTACACCTATACAACATCATTCTATGGACTGCGCTATGTTTTCATAGATTCCTGATTATGTATCTCTTGTGAGTATTTTTACAATTTTCTCGCAGGATTGGAGTGTTTGGAAAGCTTGAAATATCATGATATAAGACCTGATCAGGGAATAGTTTTCGGCGCGGAGGTGTCATAACATGGTGCAATCAGCTCCCAGTGGGCGGTGAGTTGCCAGCTCTACTAAATTTAAAATGAATTATTGCGGTGCTATTGAAGAGTCAAAGTGAATGTTTTCATTCTAGTGTTTGGGATATTATTTTTGTACGTCACTATGATATCATCTAAATCACTGTCTAAGAGGATAAAGCCATTAACAACTTTTTTGTGTTAATATCCCGGCACTAAGGTTAACAAATAAGTGCTATATACTATTGACCAGAACAGTGTCTTTAAAACCACTTGAAAATCTTAAGTATTTTATATTACGAAAATTTTTCAAGAGTAATCATTAATTAGATGATCACTTAACGTAAATTAATATTTTCTTAATAATGTTATGGAAATATCTGACAAGTTTTACATTGGTATTCATCCGCGTTAATACGTGAACTTTCTCCTCGCATTCCTCACTGTTTTATTTAAACCGAGATAGTTTACAGAAGTTTGAAGACTTTACCCCAAGTCTTTAACTTTAAATTAACATAATTTATATAAAATTTAACAAAATATGAGAGAATTATACAAAAAACTTTATTTTAACCCAACTAGGAATTCCTGGAACAGAGCACGTTGGTGTACGTTTTACTCGAATCTCATTGGTTACTCGAAGCCAGCCTTGTTCTGATTGGCTAGTTATGATGTCACACTGATGACGTCATCAAGTTCATATAAGCAGCCGGGTGCGCCGCACCTCGCACATTTATGTAGTAGTTGTTGGAGGAGGAGAGCGCGCTTCCACACTCGGCGCAAAGATAGTAAAGGAATTGCGTCACCCTGGGTGAAAACACCCACAACCAGTGAGCAAAGAAAGCTTTTAAACGTACACTACTAGTACGTTTGGGAAGGTAAATTCATTGTTCATATTGTTTACCTAGTCATTAAGTTTGCGGGAAAATAAGTGAGCGATTGACATTTTTGGACTGGGAAAAATGTGAATTAATTTGTGGAAGGTGTACTGCAGATGTTGTTATCTTTACTGTTTAACTATATAATGTGACTGAAGAAAACACGTAAGTATGTGATTGTTCTTATGAAAATATTTCCTTTATTTGGTGGAAGAAGAAGCGACTCTGAAAACTAGGAATTATTTATTTTTTCTTAAGTAGTTTTGTTGGTGATGGTAAGATGATAATTGTGACGTCTTGTGGAGAGAAAAGTGACGATAACCTTTTGTTAGAGATATTTTTGCAAGTGCAGAGTGAATAATTGTTCCAGTTTACTACATGTTCAGATGTACTGTATTGTACATGTAACAAGTAAAGTTACAGTAGTCACATAACAAGTACAACACAAAAAATCGCGTCCAATTCAAGTACAGTTCTGACTCACCAAGGATGCTTACTAATACACATTCTCCACCCTCATATTATTTGACCTGAAGATTAACCACCCTAACACTTGAGGGGAGGGGGTAAGGATAGTGGGGGTTGGCAAATCTTCCGGTGAAATAAGTTGATGGAGAATCTTCAAGTTTTAATATATTAAGGTCTTTTTTGCACCATCATCATTACCCGCCAAAGTACTGTACTAGAAGTTCGTTTAAGATTTTCTAAGTTCTGAATGGTTAAGATTTTCATGTGATGATGTGCGTATTTTGTTGTAATATTGACTGACTGACTCGCTGGTGATTTAGCATGGTAAACTATTATGAAAACGCCGACGTGTGATTTAACGACGAGTCAAGTAGGAAATTGTTAATAGAATAGTATTTTTTGGGTCAAGTTTGATAGGTATATGAACACTAGGAAAATTCTGCTGTTATAGGTGGTTGAACTATTTTCGGAAATTGTGTCAAGATCAAAACATTTTAAAAGATAATGTGAGATGCTGAATTTTTTTTGGGAAGTTACGGTGTTTTGAATGTGGTCACATGTATTTTAAGGGAATCGTGTTAGTTTACCCATTGAACATTAAACTGTACATTTTAAGCAGTCGAATCGGGTCGAACATTTACGGGAAAGCTACATATAATCAACCGCAAAAAATTAAGGACAACCAAAAAATCTTGTACATTTTAGTTATACATAAATAGTTTGGGACGAAATTATATATATAAGAAGATAGTGGTATTAAAAAAATTTATTGTGGAGGGAGGTGGAGATAACTTGAAGAATTAATCCCTGTTAATAATAGAACTAAAAGGACATTTTTACGTTAATTTTGTATCTAATGGAATATAACAATCCACCTTAATAAATGACTTCAGGGAGTTGTTAATTTCTGTGAACATTTTAAGGAGTTCACTGGTTCTGTACATGCCTTGGTATACTATTAAAGAGTATAAGAAGTTTGCGTGTATGGTTGTATGTTTTTATACGCGAGTGAGTGGATGTATGCATTGTACTTAACCAAACCCAACTAATCGTGTATTCATTTACGCAGAGTACTAATCCAACAAGAGTACGTGTAGGTGTTCAAATACATTAAGATTATACATACCACCACGTTGTTTAATCTGTATTTTAATGTAATTTTATTAGTACTGTTTATTTAATTAGATTTTATTGGACTTACAGGCTCGGCAGTGACCAGCTTCCTTCTCAAGCGACCCCAACCTTTCAAGATTGATTTTCAGCCGTCTTCGTCGAATCCAGTGAGTACAACTACAACCTGACTTGACTTAATTTGATAAAATACGTACTGTACAATAACCTGACCTGCCTTAATGCACCATATCTTACAACTACAACCTGACCTGACTTAATGCATCAGTACTTATAACCTGACCTGACTTAGTGCATCAGTACTTACAACTACAACCTGACCTGACTTAATGCATCAGTACTTATAACCTGACCTGACTTAGTGCATCAGTACTTACAACTACAACCTGACCTGACTTAATACAGTACTTCCTAAGTGCATCAGTACTATAACCTGACCTGACTTAGTGCATCAGTATTACAACTACAACCTGACCTGACTTTGCACCATATCTTACAACTACAACCTGACTTAATGCACCATATCTTACAACTACAACCTGACCTGACTTAATGCACCATATCTTACAACTACAACCTGACCTGACTTAATGCACCATATCTTACAACTGCAACCTGACCAGACTTAATGCATCAGTACTTACAACTACAACCTGACTGACTTAATGCACCATATCTTACAACTACGACGACTTAATGCACCATATCTTACAACTACAACCTGACCTGACTTAATTTGATAATACGTACTGTACAATAACCTGACCTGCCTTAATGCACCATATCTTACAATCAACCTGACCAGACTTAATGCACCATATCTTACAACTACAACCTGACCTGATTTAATGCATCAGTACTTACAACTACAACCTTACTTAATGCATCAATACTTACAACTTCAACCAGACTTAATACATCAGTACTTACAACTACAACCTGACCTGACAATGCATCAGCAACTACAACCTGACCTGACTTAATGCATCAATACTTACAACTACAACCTTACTTAATGCATCAATACTTACAACTTCAACCAGACTTAATGCATCAATACTTACAACTACAACCTGACCTGACAATGCATCAGCAATCAACCTGACCTGACTTAATGCATCAATACTTACAGCTACAACCTGACCTGACTTAATGCATCAATACTTACAACTACAACCTGACCTGACTTAATGAATCAGCAACTACAACCTGACTTAATGAATCAGCAACTACAACCTGACCTGACTTAATGCATCAGCAACTACAACCTGACTTAATGAATCAGCAACTACAACCTGACCTGACTTAATGCATCAATACTTACAACCTGACTTAATGTGATATACAACTGCCTGACCCGAGTTACTCTGGCCATGCTTATAACTACGGCACGGCTTATTATTATTGATAAGTCGATTTCTCTTCCCTAAGCACATACCGGGTTGAGACAAGAAGTACAGTGCTTTCCGTATGAATTGGTACAGTACTTGTCTTGTACATTACTCGTTTAAAACTTGTAACATCATCCGAGTATCTCCCTGGTATTATTTAAGAAGACTGTACAGTAATTGAGTTAGATAACTAAATTTCAGAAATAACTTAACATATTTAGCCAGTCAAACTCTAAACTTGATGTGGTGTACAGTAATGGTTAATTTCATTTTCCTTCCATAAAAGGGAAAAATGCTGTAAATGGAAATAAAGTGCAATTAATTTTATATCGTACCCTCGTATATAGTAGAAGGCTAGCATAGATCTGTCTCGCTCGCTCACACACACACACATGGGTAAGACACCATCAGTGTGACTCTTCATTATTGGGGAATTTTATTTTTCCACCTGGTCTCTTTACTTGAATTAAGTCGATGTAATTAAGACTTTTATAATACTCCTGAACTCCTCCAAAGTCTTTGCTTAAACTACAGTTATCAAATAAAATTTTTGGGTACTGTACGAGTATTGTACTTTTAGATTGTTATGCCAAATGTGGGTTTGTCAAATTTTCTACCCAAACTTGGCAAAAATTTTCTAGTAGACATCAACACGTGGTAAAGTTTTCTCTTGATTGTCCCTCTTGTTGTAAGCCTGTAGCTGTGTGTAGTCATGATGGACTCCTATTACCATGGGGGAATTGCTAGTCCCCTTTTATTATGGTTCATATAACATGGTTTAAACAGCCCTGATACTTGTGTAAAACTTAGTGATACTGTAGTGTTGTTTAGTGTCCTAGAGTCACCACTTGGTTGGGGTTTAAATAAGTAAGAACTGGAGAAATTATCTTACATCTCCTCAGTGGTGAGATGGGTAACATTGTTCCCAAGAGGATGCCTTATTTTACTGCTGATACAGGCATGACACTTGATGATTAAACAATAGAAGGGGCAGATAAACTCAACTAATCTCGGTCTGTCTCTGGCACAGTACTGTACTGTATGTGACTCAGGGCCCATGTGGCAGTTGTCATAGGTTGCTGTATTAAGGTTTTATTTGGAGACTGGACTATCCATTCCTCATCAGTTCTACATTGATTAAGGAAAATGGTTTAGTACTTATGAGGGGCCTCTCACCCAACACACACAAAACCACCAGCATTGATTATTTTAAATATTAAAATCATTGCCAAGGCAAATAATTTCTGTGTTATTGCTAATGATAATAATCAATCCTAAAACAGAATTATGTATTTTTACAACAAATATAAGATAATGCTTCTGTCTTATCATCAGGAGTGTACCTGCTGAGTAAAGATAGTGATAGTATGTGACTGCAGGTTGATGAGCCCGTGGTGACCTGCTCTTGGCACCTAGGTGGGCCCTGCAACCTGCTTCTGCAACACAACCCTCCTGGAGGCTCACGTGTTGCAGCAACTGGAGCAACTTGGCCTTGAACCAACCCCTACTGAACACACAGTTACAGCTCAGCCAGTAGTGTCAAAGCTGCTGCCTGCAGAGTTTGTGTGTAAAGACAAGTCATAACGACAGGAATTCTCAGGACTTGAGCACAAAGTTCATAAAACAGTTTGGCTTTGAGAGCCACGACTGGAAGATCCAGACCTTGGGTGGGCGAACACATCAACAGCATCCATGTAAGCCTGTGGTAAAATAAATAGGTTTCCTTGAGTTAACAAGCGAAATACCGAGCAATGCAGTGGAGTGCTCTGTGTTTCCGCCGTGTAAGTTGCTAACTGTAGGGTTTTAACCAGCCCTGGGATCAAGTCCTGTATGTAAATGACCAAGTCCAAAAAGTCCAGTTAAGTAAAGACTAAAAGGTCATCTTCCAAGTCAACTCTCACTGGTCAGCTTTAACTTAAGTGTAAACTAAACCTAAAATAGATTCTAATATTTCCCTTACATTCTTCCTCCCCAGATTCCACGATGCATCGTCAGAAGGCAGCACCAAAACTGAGGCTGGAGCCCCTAGAAATATTACAGGGCAAGGAACCCACTCTAAAGCAGATTGGGATCCTCATACTCCAGACTGTTGCTGGAACCTGACCGCAAGCAAGGTGAGTCTAGAAGTTGTTGAAGTGTGTAATGTTTTTACTGCCCTTCACCTAAAGTTGTTTAAGCACATAACTAGCTTAATGATTATACTTCTCCATTAACAAAATAAAATATAAAACTCAAAATTGCTGTACTACTGTATAAGACTTTACCTTATTGTAGCCTGGAAATTTGTAATTAAATGCTGTATACTTGTTTGTGCTGTGTGTAGTATTGTATGGTAGACAAAGAAAGGCAAACATTCCCCTTGAACAAACCCTTACAGCCAAAACTGCTGCTGAAGCTGAGTGGAATTGGAGAAGACAATCATTCTATGGCCGCGGCGAACACTTATACCACCGTTCCCTCGTGTGAGCTCAACACACCTGACATAAGTGAGTTTGACCATCATTAATCACCGCCACAGATCTCCTGCTTCACCCAAACCCCCCCCAGTTCTTCTCCTGCTTCACCTAACACCCCCAGTTCTTCTCCTGCTTCACCTAACACCCCCAGTTCTTCTCCTGCTTCACCTAACACCCCCAGTTCTTCTCCTGCTTCACCTAACACCCCCAGTTCTTTCTCCTGCTTCACCTAACACCCCAGTTCTTCCTGCTTCACCCAACCCCCCTGGTAGTTCTTCTTCTCCTGCTTCACCCACCCCCCAGTTCTTTTCTCCTGCTTCACCTAACACCCCCAGTTCTTTCTCCCTGTTTCACCCAACCCCCCAGTTCTTCTCCCGCTCACCTAACACTCTAGTTTTTCTCCCCCGCTCTTACCTGACACTCCCCCAGTTCTTCTGTTTTTACCTAACTCTCAGTTCTTCTCCTGCTTCACCTAACACCCCAGTTCTTCTCCCGCTCACCTAACACCCCCAGTTCTTTCTCTCCTGGGCTTCACCTAAAACCCCCCAGTTCTTCTCCTCCCGCTCACCTAACACCCCCAGTCTCTGTCAATTCTGCACACCCCCCAAAGTTCTTCTCCCGCTTCACCTAACACTTCTAAGTTCTTTCTCCTCCCGCTCACCTAACACCCCCAGTTCTTCTCCCGCTCACCTAACACCCCCCAGTTCTTCTCCTCCGCCTTCACTTAATCCCCAGTTCTTCCCTGCTTCACCTTAACACCCCTGTGTTCTTCTCCTGCTCCACCTAACACCCCCAGTTCTTCTCCCTGCTTCACCTAACACCCCCAGTTCTTCTTCTCCTGCTTCACCTAACACCCCAGTTTTCTCTCCGCTTTCCACCAACACCCCCCAAAGCCCTTTCCTGCTCACCAACACCCCCCAGTTCTTCTCCCTGCTGCACTTAACTCCCCTGTGTTCTTCTCCCTGCTTCACCTAAGACCTCTAGTTCTTTCTCCTGCTTCACCTAACACCTCCCCAGTTCTTTCTCCCTGCTTCTTCTACCCTCAGTTCTTCTTCTGCTTCGCCTAACCCCCCCAGCTCTTCTCCTGCATCACTTAACTCCCCAGTTATGCTCTCACTTCACCTACTCCCCCCAGCTCCTCTCCCGCCTCATCCCCCTTCTCTCTCAGAAAATTTAACTGGAATTAAACCGGTGTAACACAGATCTTCACTAAACTTTGGCATCAAGCTAAGGTTCCCCAAGTGAGGACGATGTTGCCGAGGCAATACAGTCAATTACGTGATCTCCTTAGCGATCCATAAATTCTGTAATGCTGTGTGTATACATTTTTCTTAGACATATGTTGATATGTTCCATCAGAAAGCATCACTCACTAAAAAAGGACCTATTTACTGGGTTGAAATTCGTAATCCATTAAAACCACAAATGTCTGTAATGGCCTCTTAAAGAAGTGCAGTCTGTGAATACTGTGTGAATACTGTATGTTTACCCAGTGTTCCTTATGAACCTGAAGAGTGATCTAAAGGTGGTATCTGGAAACTGGTGCTCTGGCAACCCCTCCTGGATATTGTACCGTATATAAGTTGAGGATGTGGGGTAAGAGTGCAGTCAGCTGCAGTTATCAGTAATACTCACATCATCACCCGGAGGATATTATGATACGTGTTGGAGTATTGTGAAGATTTGGCGTTTGGTGATTGAAGTTGAACTGTGCTGGTGATAGCTAATTTTGGCACTTGTGAAAATTTCTTGCTCTCTTAATGAAAGGATTTTTGCCAATTGTGTTTAAAGCTTTACATTGACAGTGAAAATACTTTTGTGCATTGAACATTAAGTTGGTGGTTGTTTGGAATTGAAATGAAAACTTTGAAAACCAAATGATTAAAGTCTGAATAGTTTTTCTGTACCAAGACAATTTACAGAAATCGGTTCTCACCACTAACACATAATTTCCGTAAGAAAGTGTCAAATTAATTCTATAACTGTAAAAATGTGCTGTCTCAAATCTTGAAGAAGTAAACTTTATAATTTTTTTAACTGTAGTTTCTATTTGTTGCAGAGTTTGATGAGATTTTGGATGGCAAAACCATTTACAGTTTCAGTAGCTGTAACATGGAAGTGAATTGTGAGCCAGCACATGGTTGCCCCACCACACTGGAGGACGATTCCAAGTCAATGGTGTTGTTTGACCTCAGTCCACTCCCGTCAGTCACCTCACCCCAGTGTGACCAGGAAGATCAACAAGACATCTGTAGGGAGGAACAGATAATGAAGCCACAAGACTGTATTGATGTTGCCTCTGATTTGAGTACCTTGATGCCCTCCACCACCAACACACTACTCTGCCATCCCCATCCACCACTATCTCCTTCAGACTTCCTCAATAGCCATGAACGATCATCATTTACACAAGACTCGGGCACAGTGAATCTCTCTGCTCCATTTCTCTCAGATGCTCTTCCACCCCAGGACTTGGAGAATAATTTAGAAATTTCCCCAGAAATAATGGAGCACATCAATAAAATCCTCCCACACAGCCTGGACATTGATGAGTTAAATGCCAATACCACATATCTGGACATGTTCCTTGGAAACAGTGATGATCTCCTCAACAGTGCCATGCAAGAGTCAGGCCTACTAGACACTGAGGTAAATATCAGAGTATTGTAACTTTTTATTCACAATTTCGTGCAAATGTTTAACTCCATGCAACCCAGGACACTAGTTAACATATCGAGGAACCACATTTTTTACCTGTTTTTAATGCAGTACAGGGTTTTTTTTTTTTACCACACTGTTACATTTTATTCTCTCTCTCGCACTCTCTAAAACACTTGTCTTTCATTTTACTTTATATATATATATATATATACTTTTTTTTTTTTTTAAATAATAGATTCAATGAGAGTAGTACAGTAGATACTGAACAAAATCCTAATTCCTCTGTGTCCAGATGATAGCCCTAAACAGATGACCTTACTGTACTGTATATCCATTTATGATGAAGTAATAATACATGAGGATAATGGAATAGTTGTTTGTGTTGTAAGGGTTATATACATAAGGTACCAAATGTAGTTGTTGGTCATAAGGTGGAGAAATTTGGTTCTTTTGGAGGCTGCTATCAGTGAGTGAATCATTGTGACTTGGTCAACTACATCACAGAAAGTGCTTCATTTACCTTTAGTTTTGAATATTTTCCCTTATGCACCTGAAGCCAAGAAGTAACAAGCTTAATTTATTTTATTAATTTTATTTTATTCAGATGAATAATGGACTTGGAAGGCCGTGTGAGGGTGATGCGAGTGCTCTACCTCAACTGCCAACTGAGGGAGCTAAGAGTGTCTACCAAGGTCATGACACCCCAGTCAACCAGAATTCACTTTCCATTGAGTCATTCTTGAATACGTCACATGTCACGGCTCTCTCACAGACAGTTGGGACGGAATCTGTGTGGCCTTTACAGGAACCTCAGATATCCTCACCGTCAGTTGGAGAGTTCGAGGGTTTGTTGGCGCCATCCCCTTGTGTGGAGTCTCTTGTGTTGCCTTCTACTCCGTTATCTAGTGGTGCAGCAGGAGTGGCACACTCTAATATTAGTACAGTCAGAGTAACCCGACAGAGGAGGAGCTCCAAGAGGCCCGCCAGGTTCAGGGATACTGTGCCTCTCGATGATTGCTTAACCACAGATCTGCTGGGCTTAGACTTAACGCAAGAGTCACTTGAACCATTGGCATCAACGTCTGGGTACACCACCTCACCCAGGAAGAGAAAAAAGTCTGAGGCACTTGAGGAACCATTGGCCTCAACATCTGGGTACACCACCTCTCCCAAGAGGACCAGACAGTCCAATACGTGTCTGTCGGAAGAAGAAAAGTACCGTAGAATTCGCGTGTTGAACAACGAGGCATCGAAAAAATGCAGGCAGAAGAGGAAGGAAAGTATGAAGGATATGGAAGGAACTGTGGTACTCCTTGAGGAGAAAAACAAGAAGCTGAAGGCGAAGGAAGCTGCCCTTACCAGACTGCGGGACAGATTTCAGTCCCTCGTTCATGAAACGTTTACGAAAAGATTGAAATCAAATCTGCAAAATATTAAAGATTGAGCTCAAAGTATATTAAAGATTGAACTCTAATGTACTACAAGATTGAGGCTTTTGACTTGCTGGACTTGTTCAAATTAAAATTGCCCGAATAAGAATTTTAAGTCTAGAAAGTCAGTCTCCTAGCCAATGTAAACAGTTGACATGTACTGTATAACAATTTGGAAGTACTGTACTATAGTATAATTCAACATCAGAGCAAAATTAAGTTGTGGTTTGTAGTTACAATCACTGCATGGTGTGGTGTGATTAATTACCTGTTGTACAATGACCACTGTACAATAATAATGCACAGGATGGTGTACAGTACCTACAAAGTAATGTTTTTATAATATTTATATTTTAACCGTTTACTGGAGAAGGTTTGAGAATATTTATATATTGGCATAATTTTAGATGAAATAAATATTTGTTGAAAACCTGAGTCTTTTTATGAGAACTAACCTTGATGAACAAAATTTAATGCTAATGTTCAGTAAAAATTGATGAGGATAGAATTATTATTGAATAATTATTGCTAAGGTGGCGAGACGTAAATGACGCACAACTACACAATGATCACAAGAAAGAAGTGACTGACAAAACTACTCGACAAGTGATAGAATTACTTCAAGGTGAAATACCCTAATGCTACCTGTGGGGATTAGGCTACCAATAGGAAAATCAATCCAAAGGTGACTAAACTAGGATGTCTAAAGGTGAAGTAAGCTAAGGTGTCTAATCTTCAGGTGATCCTACTCGCCTGAAACTTTGCACAGTAATCCGATTAATAAACTCATAATGGATTGTATGGACTTAAGTTAGTAATGAGAATAAGATTACCTATGGAATACGTTAGTGTAGATTAGGTAATGTGAGGATAACATTTACTTCATCCACTGTGCCACTGATCGGCTCGTTAGCCGATTGGATAAGAAGTGTTGTAATTTTAACACCGAAGTCATAACCATCCTTGTAGATGTATCGAAAACAGTGGAAGAAATAAATTTACAATTATCCAAATTTTTTCAAGAAATTTCTTTACATCAAAAAGGGTGATAAATCAATAGCATCAAATTACCGTCCCATTAGTCTCACGTCAATCATAGGCAAGTTGCTAGAGTCAATTATTGCTACAAAAATCAGAAGCCACCTTGAAACATTCAACTTAATTCATTCTTCTCAGCACGGGTTCACCCAGGGACGTTCTTGTCTCACAAATTTGCTTAGCTTTTTCTCAGAAGTATTTGAAGCGGTAGATAATGATAAGTCATATGATATAATTTATTTAGGTTTCAGTAAAGCATTCGATAGAGTCCCTCATGAGAGATTGATAAGGAAGGTAGAAGCACATGGAATAGGTGGATCAGTATTAAAATGGATTAGGTCATGGTTAACTGGTAGGAAACAAAGAGTCAGCATAAATGGATTAAAGTCAGACTGGGGTGCGGTCAAAAGCGGAGTTCCCCAGGGATCTGTATTAGGCCCTCTGCTGTTTGTTATATTCATTAATGATCTTGATTTAGGCATAACTAGTAGGATTAGTAAATTTGCAGAAGATACCAAAATGGGGAGAGTGATAAATTCAGACAGTGACTTTGAACACCTTCAAAGAGATCTAGATACCTTACATGAGTGGTCAGTAGACTGGCAAATGAATTTTAATACCGATAAATGCAAGGTACTACAGATAGGGAAGACGAATACAAACGTTAAGTATAAACTAGGTAACACGGAAATAGAAAACTCAGTTTGTGAAAAAGATCTAGGTGTATTTGTTAGCAACGACTTGAAACCTAGAAAACAATGTATTAGCGTTCGCAACAAGGCAAACAGTTCTTGGGTTCATATCTAGGTCTGTGAGTAACAGAACTGCTGACGTTATCTTGAAACTTTACCTAGCATTAGTGAGGCCACACATGGATTATGCGGTTCAGTTCTGGTGTCCTTATTATAGAATGGACATAGATTCTTTGGAGAGAGTACAAAGAAGAATGACAAAAATGATCCATATTAGAAACCTTCCATATGAAGAAAGACTGAAAACTTAGGCTTACATTCATTAGAGAGGCGTAGAGTTAGGGGAGATATGATAGAGGTACAAGTGGGTAAAGGGATTAACAAGGGTAAAATGGAAGATGTTCTGAAGCTCCAGTAACGGAAATAACTAGAACAAATGGCTTTAAATTAGATAAATTCCGATTCAGAAAGGATATAGGCAAGCACTGGTTTGGTAATAGAGTTGTGGATATGTGGAATAGGCTACCGAGTGCTATAGTAGGATCGGGGACGCTAGGGAGCTTCAAGACGAAGTTGGATAGGCACATGGAAGTGCTGGGATGGGTGTGAAAGGGATCTGCCCTGTATGGGCCAGTCGGCCTCCTGCAGTATCCCACTTTCTTATGTTCTTATGTGATCACTGAGAACTTAATACAACTAATATATTAAAAAATATATATTAATAGCATTGTGTAACAAATTAACCTCTTTCAAGAATATTTAATGGTTATTTATTGGAAAAAATAAAAATTAACAACAGACAAAACCATTCTTCATACTTAAAAACTATTCCATCCGGATGCTTTACTAATTTACTATATATATAAATCAAGATTTAAGTCATATTCATTGAAGAGTCCCGTCACTAACAAAGAAAACGTTACTTAACTACGAAGGCATTTGGTTATTAAGTTTATGATAACACATTTTCAATATTTCACGAGTTAATCCACCGCTGATAGTGGGGGAAAACAGTGAAAGTGTCCCACACACCTGTGGCCAACCAGCGTAGCCTCGAGATGTAGCAGCCAATGAGCGGCCAGTGTGAGCAAGTTGTGTCTGGCATCTCGCTGCAGGGGTTTTAATTTGCTCTAGGTTGCGTTTGTGCTTAATATTCGGGAATAATGAGTTCCTCAGACAATCATAGTCAGCCAATAGATATTCACGGAAGTGTAGGAGGAATGTGGAGAGCTCGTTTAGTGTGACAGGGAAAAGGAACAGAGGTAAGGCGTACATTACTGTCCTGCAGTTGCATAACTAAACAAGTTGCTGCCTGTGTTGCGACCTGCATGTGCTTGTGGTCTCTTCAAGGACATTTCGACCAAGTTTTGGTCTATAGGCTACTTCAACCAGCATAATGCCTATCTGCCTAAGGTTATGAGTTCCAATGATGTGAAACGCAACACCATCATTATAGGCCTATAGCTGGACAATAATTTTTCTCCACAACAACCCTTCCTCACCACTTGACAAGCATCAGCAATCATTGTAAGGCTAATCAGGATCTTGATAAAGGAAAGTCAACGACCATGGTTTTCTGAGGAATAACAAAACCGTTTGAGATTGACATCTCTTTACTATAAAAATATAACAAAACTCTGACACCACTCAACAAACATCAAATAACAATTAAGGCAGTCAACAGTTAATGGAGTCAAACAATTAAAGGAAGCAAACAATTAAAGGGAGTAAACAATTAATAGAATCAAACAATTAATGGGAGTCAACAACTGATAGAATCAAACAATGAACAAATATTTCCTACGGCAGTGGCCCTGGGGGAAGGTCCTGGAACAGGTGATGCACACTCAGGGTAGGGAAGCGTCCATTCAACTCCACACTCGAGCGACGTCTTGAAATGGCAGGAGAACACCGGGGCACAGACGGAATGAGATGAACTGGCAGTCGTGGTATGTGGTAGTGGTAGATGACCAGAGAATTGACAGTCGATAGGTGAAGGTCTGGGAACACAGCCCACGAGTCCAGGACCTATGATGAGATCACAGCCAGAATTTGAAGGACAGTCGGGTAACTAGATAGTGACTGTATGGCGGCTGGGTTGAATCTGCCGGTGACCCAGATAGTCGCTGCCGTTCTCACCTCTGTCCAACCACCCCAAGTGTCATCCGCACCAGCAAACGAGCGAGTTAGCAGCGGTAACCAGCAGGAAGATCGTTTCCGCCCTTACATATTCATATAACTACACTTTTTTACTTCATTCCATTTATATTAGTGTTTATTGTTGCATTTGTGGTTATATTTTACCGTTTACATTATCACTTCCATATCTGCAGTGAAATACATACAAAATGAGACATTGTTTATTAAAATAGGAGTAATAAAGGCACCTAAGTATTGATAAACAGCAGGGTGTCTTGGAAATATGTATATCATATTTGTGAAGACGGCCTTGATGTTTATATTTAAAAAACTTTGTCCATGCATGTTAGTATGGGAAATGTCCACAAGACATTGACCAGCATGTTACTCTTGTCACAAGCATTCTTATGATCACGAATATTTGTTTGGGATTACATTATATATATATATATATATATATATATATATATATATATATATATATATATATATATATATATATATATATATATATATATAAATAAATTGTAGGTGCGCGTGATCTAGGTATATGCTGATAACCACAAGGAAAGAAGAAACACGAAGTTCCCAAGCGCTTTCGTGTACTCACCCCAAGAAGATACACGGAAGCACAGCTTATTAATATATATATATATATATATATATATATATATATATATATATATATATATAATATAATCAACAGGTCGTTGATTATATGTTCAAATCACGTGTGATATGGACTAAAAATGATATATATATATATATATATATATATATATATATATATATATATATATATATATATATATATATATATATATATTAGACGATATATTCACCTGTACCAAATGAATTAGTCTCCAGCAATCAATATTTCTCACCTTTAAATTGTTTTCTTTAACTAACATACGGAGCATCTGAAGTCTCTATACTTTACTTTTATCTTCTTCACCACTGATCGGCTCGTTAGCCGCTTGGGCGATCGGTCACGTCTCTGATTACTTTTCCTTTTCATTTATCCTCTTCACCGTTTACTTTACTGAACTGTGTACTGCGTTGGTTATATATTTGCTGAACTGTATACTTGCATCGCTTATATACGTACGTATTGAACTGTATATCTTTGTTTATATACATGCTGAACTACATTTGTTTTCCTGGGATTAGCTCACCCGGGCACAGGTCACTGACCCACATCACGGCCTGGGGGGCGAAAATATGATAATAATAAATAATAATAATAATAATAATAATAATAATAATAATATTAATTATTATTATTATTATTATTATTATTATTATTATTATTATTATTATTATTATTATTATAGTAATTCAAAAAATAATAACAAAATACCTATACTAAAATAAGAATAATATACTACAAAAATAATAACCATAAATAAATACAAAAAGAGAAAAATAAATCAAGAATGAGAAACGTATACATTATGTATGTTGTGTTGTCAAAGGAAGAGAAACAATTGAGACCTGCAATTGTGTATAAATGAGGCAGAGAGTTGGATCAGCAACCTGGGACTTGGTCACATATGGCAGC